TTGTGTTGTCTGTTGTTGTTTCTCAAAGCTAAGCCAAGGTAATGCGCAGTTATTGCCACAAAATGCGGCCGTATTTCTACAACAGCTGGGGATTTTTAAAGCAGCAGTAAGCGATTTTTGGGTGTTAATATACGTCTTAAATATTGATATATTCCAATAGCCATCACTTATATAGAGTGTTTGTACCTAAACACGGATCTCTCAGTCCTTCCAGTCTTCTCCCACCTATATAATAAAAAAAACCTCACATCCTATGCGCTTATCCAATGACGAGAGAGCACGCCTTATAAGGGGTTTCTCCCGTGTGTGCACGCGCACTCTTCAAAACAAACATGGCGGAGAAGGAAAAGCCGCCTCCAGCGCTGCTGCAGACGAAATACCATGGATTTATTAAATACAGGCAAAACGCCAGAAACAGAGGAACGACAAAAAGTATGAGCAACATGGTGACCAGCTGCATTCATGTTGGCGACCTCTAGCTCCGTGGATTCCTCTCTCCGACTGAACAGGTGAGCATGTTACTCAGTAGTGGCAGTAGTAGTTGTATTATTTATACATATTGTTGCCTGAGACTGTAATGCGGGTTTTCACCAAGTTAGCTAGTTAAAAATCCCCAGCTGTTGTAGAAATACGGCCGCATTTTGTGGCAATAACTGCGCATTACCTTGGCTTAGCTTTGAGAAACAACAACAGACAACACAACATCGAAGCCTTAGCCCAGCCTCAGCCATCCATAAACTCCGGTCAATTATTAGTTCCCCACATGTACAAAATTAAATGACCATATCACCAGAGTTCCCCCGTGAAGTGTTGTTAGCATTAGCGTTAGCTGTTAGCATTAGCGTTCGCTGTTAGCATTAGCGTTCGCTGTTAGCATTAGCGTTAGCTGTTAGCATTAGCGTTCGCTGTTAGCATTAGCGTTAGCTGTTAGCATTAGCGTTAGCTGTTAGCATTAGCGTTCGCTGTTAGCATTAGCGTTCGCTGTTAGCATTAGCGTTAGCTGTTAGCATTAGCGTTCGCTGTTAGCATTAGCATTAGCTGTTAGCATTAGCGTTAGCTGTTAGCATTAGCTGTCTGTAGTTGTGAATATGGTGTGGCTGCTACGAACACTTCTGATCTGTATGAATCGTTTGTTTTTGCCAATAAACATAGTTGCTTGCACTATATATATATATGTAGGTCTGCATTTCATTCTTCAATGACTAAGTTTTGCAACTTGCACTCTGTATATTAGTTTTATTGTTATAAAAACAATATCTCTTTACCTCAAATCTAACTTCCGTGACCACTACATACATTTTTATTATTATGTATTGAGAATAAGTAAGAAAAGTCTTGCTGACTACTACCAAATAAATTATGAGCATGATATAATATAGACATTGTAATAATTTACATGTCTTCATTGCATTCTTTTCTCTGTATCTTTTCCAGTATGGCCTAAATCAATTGGAATGAGGTCTTCAATGTACAAGAGTTCAAAAGCCTCCATAATGCAAGTTAAATAACTATTAAAAAAAAAAACAATGCCATAACGACTAGATACTTTTCTGCTGACCTCTTCTTTCTCTAGTATTGACTGCGAAGACAAGACTTTGCTTCCAGAATTAGAAGAATGGCCATTGTCATCTCCTGAGGAAGACTTTACACCCCACATTTGTCATGTAGGTTGTTGTGAATGCATATATGGGACGCAGTGATTATGATGATTATGATGTTGTGATGTGTGTGTCGTTCATCCCTACAGTTGTGTTGCTGCCCTGAGGTCCAAAATGAATATCGATCATGTTCCAGGAGTCAGTGTTGACAAAACTGTCGCTGAGTTTCTTCAACAATCAAGAGGAGTGAGATAATCACTCGACTCCCAAAACAGCCGATGTAAGTGTCTTTTTCTCACAATGCAGTCTCTCACAGTCCAAATAAACATGTTCAAGGATCCTGTGGATCAGGGGCCACTCCTGGTGATCAATAAATACTGATGATGTTGATGATGAATATATCAAAGTCATATTTGAGTAGATGAAACTGATGTCTCCTCTATTGTGTTTCAAAGGAAAATCTCTGCCAGAGGAAGACTCCAGTTCCTTCAACCTGGGCCCCTGAAGCGTGGCTGTGTGTGCGTGTGACTGTGTGTGCTTGTGTGCTTGTGGCTGTGTGTGACTGTGTGTGCGTGTGACTGTGTGTGCGTGTGACTGTGTGTGACTGTGTGGCTGTCTGTGCGTGTGGCTGTGTGTGCGTGTGGCTGTGTGTGCTTGTGACTGTGTGTGCTTGTGACTGTGTGTGCTTGTGACTGTGTGTGCTTGTGACTGTGTGTGACTGTGTGTGCTTGTGACTGTGTGTGCGTGTGACTGTGTGTGCTTGTGACTGTGTGTGCTTGTGACTGTGTGTGACTGTGTGTGCTTGTGACTGTGTGTGACTGTGACTGTGTGTGCTTGTGACTGTGTGTGCTTGTGACTGTGTGTGACTGTGTGTGCTTGTGACTGTGTGTGACTGTGTGTGCTTGTGACTGTGTGTGCTTGTGGCTGTGTGTGCGTGGCTGCTTATGAATTATTTTGAGGAAATGTGTTCAAACAAGCTACAACATAAAGATTAACATTTTGTTAGATATCTCTGATAGTGTTCGCTGCAGCAGCGATGGATAAGGACCTGAATAATAACAGTGTTATTCATTTGAGCAAAAAGTGATAACACAAACGTTGCCTTACCATCACTTGTAATTATTTGTCTTAGTAGGGACATTGTGTATATTTTTCCGGCTATAACTTCAAATCTTCTTTTACATAATAAAGTTTCTTAGACTCGTTACAGACTGTATTTGTTTTCCTACTATAAAACAAAGCACATTGAAAGAGGTGAATGTATTTTTTTTTATTTTGAAATTGTACAACTACAAACATATTTCAGAACTGCAGAGTGGATGTGCACCATGGGGCCACTGAGGACGTGCACCATGGGGGCCACTGAGGACGTGCACCATGGGGGCCGCTGAGGAAAGCACGTTTTCAATGTCTGTTGGCACCTTTCACAGACGCATCAGGGAAAGGATCTGGTCATCAGCTTCTCTGGACAGAGGGCGTTCAGTGCTTCCTGAAAGAACCGTTATGACAAATGACTTTATATATTCTGTTACTTGTAGCTTTTCTTTCAAAGTGGTGAGTTTCCTTACAGTGTAATAGTCAGTGTAACGTAATTAGTTATGACAGTACTTTTGCGTTTCGGACAAGCTTTACTGGAATTGTTTTTCAGTCCCACATCTCACTGTACAGCTCTGATACACTTTGATTTTGTCTTCATTCTCTGAACAATAAGCACATAATACAGATGTTGATTACATCAATAAATGTATCTTTATTTTGTGACATTGAGAAGGCAGCTTCCAGTGAGATGCAGCTTTACTTTCACATAATACATTACTACAGTGTTGTCTATAAAGAACTCCAAATATACAAATTGTGAGGAAAGCAGTAATGTATTACTTTAAATAACCTTCATGTAAAGCTTTGTTGTTGTAATGTATATGCATTACATTCATCTAATACATATGCACTGTAAGAGATGTTACAGTGCATAATGTTGAGACACGTCACACTGTAATCTGCAACATTATGTTTATCACAACAGTTTTCAGTGTACCAACTATAAAAGCAGTATTATTCTATAAAAGACTGGATTGTTTTTATTTCTTTCTTAGTGATGCTATCCTAGCTAACACCAAGCTGCTTCCAGTGTTATAGCTAGGTTACAACTGAGCTATTCTATGCTAATATTTCACTCCCAGAGTTTGTTGTTAATATACTTACGAGTAGACCTGACGGAGATGAACATGCTGCTGCCATCACCAAGACGATGCGCGTTCATGTGGTGTGACGTAGGGACGGGGGCGGGGCTACTAACTCGCTCAGGCAGAAGAAACTGCCGGAAACGACCAAATCGCTTACTGCTGCTTTAACTAGCTAACTTGGTGAAAACCCGCATTACAGTCTCAGGCAACAATATGTATAAATAATACAACTACTACTGCCACTACTGAGTAACATGCTCACCTGTTCAGTCGGAGAGAGGAATCCACGGAGCTAGAGGTCGCCAACATGAATGCAGCTGGTCACCATGTTGCTCATACTTTTTGTCGTTCCTCTGTTTCTGGCGTTTTGCCTGTATTTAATAAATCCATGGTATTTCGTCTGCAGCAGCGCTGGAGGCAGCTTTTCCTTCTCCGCCATGTTTGTTTTGAAGAGTGCGCGTGCACACACGGGAGAAACCCCTTATAAGGCGTGCTCTCTCGTCATTGGATAAGCGCATAGGATGTGAGGTTTTTTTATTATATAGGTGGGAGAAGACTGGAAGGACTGAGAGATCCGTGTTTAGGTACAAACACTCTATATAAGTGATGGCTATTGGAATATATCAATATTTAAGACGTATATTAACACCCAAAAATCGCTTACTGCTGCTTTAAGCAATACAGAAATAAATAACACGATGAATGGCTGTATCACCACTAGAAATGTATTGTATCCATTCATAATCCTTTTAAATTGGCACAGGGTTGATATTTCACATTTAAAAACTGTTTTTAAGACTATAGGTTAGAGCTGGGATACTGAACCCTTTCTTCCCGTTAGTAATCCATGTTTTTAGCTTCAACAGAAATAAGTCTTGTGGATGTAGTTAAATGTGTGAGGGAAAGTCAGACCACACTGTCTTCAGCTTTTTGGAAAATACCTCATATTCTTTTATATATAATTGTAAGAAAGAACACTTTAGTCACTTTGTTTTGTCTTTCTTCTTGTCATCTGTCTGCTTTGTCTTCCTGTATCTATTGGTAATTATTTTGACTTTGTAATATTATGTTTTTGAGAAGTGGTCTACAAATAAAGAATTATTATGATTATTATGATTATTATTATTATCATTATTGTTATTATTGTTATTATTATTATTGTTTTTATTATTATTATTGTTTTTATTATTATTATTATTTCGGTGTGTCTTCTCTGACCATGTTTAAATCCAGGTCGGTATAGCTGTGCATACAACTGAGGGATTTAATATTTTAATATTTCGTTTTAATGTGCTGTAATTATTTATGATTTTAATGCCTTGTGGGAATGTTTTCTATCTTGTTTTGTTCAGCACTTTGAGTTGCCTTATATGAACTGTGCGATACAAATAAATTAGCCGTGCCTATTTGACGCTTTGGGCTGAGAGCTGACTAGATGCATGAGTGTGGCCTTCTATTATTCAAAGCTGGTCTAGCATGTGAAATTAGAACGATACTGTTTTGAGAATGAGGAACTATATTACATAATGGATTTTATTACCTCACACTTTTGTAGTTCCCCAGCTTTAACTAATGGGGTACTTTAATCCCGTGTATGTGTTAATTTGTTACCTTTGGTAGCTTGTTACCTCCAGAGAAGCCTGCAGTGAGGAAAAGAAGACCAACAGACGTCCATTTCGAAGAGATTCTCCAGAAATCAGAATGGTACAACTTCAACATTTGTCAATCATTCACAAATAAAATGTATTATTTCTTTGTCTGCTCATAATATTTGTGATATATCCTCCTAAAAGCAGGATAGGAGAAATACTGCTTGTTCCATCTGTGACCTGTATACAGTGATTCAAATGTTATTCTTTTTCAAGGCTTGCTGAAGTTTACCGAGCGAACAGCAGGGGGCGCCAGAGCGTTGTGAAAAGCTTGGACCCTTCTCTTCTGAAAGCTTACAGATCCGCAGTGATCCAAAACCAGGGGGAGTTCGTGACTATTGACGATGTTAAACGCAAGTATTTTGTCATAGTAATAATTATGATGTAGAAGTATTTTTTTCTAGTGTTTAACTATCTAGATCTAACTGTACACCCGTTTTCAACAGCCCTACTTGTCCCTACTCTTCTCCATCAGGCTAACCAGTTTTAGTGTTTATATTACGCTTTAGTATCTGGTACCGTATCCTAGGAACTTATCCACAACAAACCAGTCACCAGGGAAATTCTTTGTGTAACCATGATGTCCTGCAGCACTCTGACCAATCACTGTCAGTAAGAACACTTTAGTAGCAGCTCAAAAGGAGGTACCACTCTCAATTTGGAGTGGAGTAGAGTAAAGCCAAGTAGGGCTGGTGGAAATGTGTCCAATGACCTTTTGTGTGTATGTTTTCAGAAGTGGCTGTAGATTTGCTGCTTGAGAATTACTCCCTCCCCATTCCGCACTCATTCTTGGATCTATTAAAGTAAGATTCTAAGTGTTTTTGAACATTATAAAGAAATAACAAAAGATCCTTTATTCTTGTTTGTCATTTTAGGAGTAAAGAGTTTGATGAAGTCCTGATGGCTCTTCTCTGTTACCTCTGCTGTTTCTTTGAACACAGATCATTGGATAATAAGTCCGACATCATCATTGTGTGAGTATTTCAAAGCACATAAGCATTTGTTAATTAAATAACACATTATGTTTGTCCCGACAAAAAGAGTCTTGATAAAGGTAAATGTTGCAAACACACAGAGCACAACTTGCAGTCTTCATTTTGAAAATATGTAAATCTTTTATAAGAAAGAGCCCTTTCAGTATTTATTTATGTATTTTGTCTAAAAAATCAGTCTTTTTAAGAACCATATAATTGATATTAGCAGTAGATCCGTTCATTATTGATCAGTTTTGTTCTAATTGAAACATGAACACCCCATTCATCTGTTGGCATACAGATTGAATCAAAACTCTTGATTGAATAATGTATTTAAATAATTGTACAGGACAGATATGTATTTATAGTTTCTCTAATATCACCTGTACCTTACAGTCTCAGTAAACTGACACAATGAAAACATGACAAAGCCATTCGACTCTTGTTCTTTGAGACTCAGACAATTTCATCAACACTGGCTTTTGAGGAATCAACTTTTCATTTTGAGCAAGTTCAGGTTTGCAGGTTCCATAAGGATTTGCAGTTTGTACTAACTGTTGTGCAAATGTTAATAGTGACTGAGAACAACTGTAAAATATATAAACAATGTTATTTAATAGAATTGTAAAAAGCAAAACCCAAAATGTCTATACTTATAAAAATAGATCTGTTTATTGTTACCCTTGTTTTTTCATTTCATTTCTGCACATTTTTAAATTGTCATAATAATAATCTTATGAACAGACATTTAACTACGACAGAAGCATTTTCAAGCTTCTGTCGTCTCCTTTTGAGCCCCATGTGGTGTCATCTGTCTGTTCATAGTCTGTACATGACCCCCAATTACTCAACACATGAAACACATGAACAGAAAATGTGTCTCTCTGTGTCTCTCTCTGTGCCTCTCTGTGTCTCTCTGTGTCTCTGTTACTCTGTGTCTCTGTGTCTCTGTTATTCTGTGTCTCTGTGTATCTGTGTCTCTGTGTCTCTGTTACTCTGTGTCTCTCTGTGTCTCTGTTACTCTGTGTCTCTGTGTCTCCGTTACTCTGTGTCTCTCTGTGTCTCTGTTACTCTGTGTCTCTGTGTCTCCGTTACTCTGTGTCTCTCTGTGACTCTGTGTCTCTGTTTCTCTGTTTCTCTGTGTGTCTCTGTTTCTCTGTTACTCTGTGTCTCTGTCTCTCTGTGTCTCTGTGTCTCTCTGTGTCTTTGTTACTCTGTGTCTCTGTGTCTCTCTGTGTCTCTGTGTCTCTCTGTGTCTCTCTCTGTGTCTCTGTTTCTCTGTGTATCTGTCTCTCTGTGTCTCTGTTTCTCTGTGTCTCTGTTTCTCTGTGTATCTGTCTCTGTGTCTCTGTTTCTCTGTGTCTCTCTGTGTCTCTGTGTCTCTCTGTGTCTCTTTTTCTCTGTTTTTCTGTGTCTCTCTGTGTCTTTGTGTCTCTGTGTCTATGTGTCTCGTCTCTGTCTCTCTGTGTCTCTGTGTATCTCTGTGTCTCTGTGTGTCTCTGTGTGTCTCTGTTACTCTGTGTATCTGTGTCTCTCTGTGTCTCTGTCTCTCTGTCTCTCTGTCTCTCTGTGTCTCTGTTACTCTGTGTCTCTGTTTCTCTGTGTATCTGTGTCTCTCTGTGTATCTGTGTCTCTGTGTATCTCTGTCTCTCTGTTACTCTGTGTCTCTGTATCTCTGTTTCTCTGTGTCTCTGAGTATCTCTGTGTCTCTCTGTGTCTCTGTGTCTCTTTTTCTGTTTTTCTGTGTCTAAGTCTCTGTCTCTGTGTCTCTGTCTCTCTGTGTCTCTATGTATCTGTGTATCTCTGTGTCTATGTGTATCTCTGTGTCTCTGTGTCTCTGTATCTCTCTGTGTCTCTCTCTGTGTGTCTGTCTCTCTATGTCTCTCTGTGTCTCTCTGTGTCTCTATGTCTCTATGTCTCTGTGTCTCTCTCTCTGTGTCTCTCTGTCTCTCTCTCTGTGTCTCTCTCTGTCTCTATGTCTCTGTGTCTCTGTCTCTCTGTCTCTCTCTGTGTCTCTCTGCGTCTCTCTGTCTCTCTGTGTCTCTCTCTGTCTCTCTCTGTCTCTCTGTGTCTCTCTGTGTCTCTATGTCTCTATGTCTCTGTGTCTCTCTCTCTGTGTCTCTCTGTCTCTCTCTCTGTGTCTCTCTCTGTCTCTATGTCTCTGTGTCTCTGTCTCTCTGTCTCTCTGTCTCTCTATGTCTCTCTCTGCGTCTCTCTGTCTCTCTCTGTCTCTCTGTGTCTCTCTCTGTCTCTCTCTGTCTCTCTGTGTCTCTCTGTGTCTCTATGTCTCTATGTCTCTATGTCTCTCTGTCTCTCTCTCTATGTCTCTGTGTCTCTGTGTCTATGTATCTCTTTGTGTCTCTGTATCTCTCTGTGTCTCTCTGTCTCTCTCTCTGTGTCTCTGTGTCTCTCTCTCTGTGTCTCTGTGTCTCTCTCTCTGTGTCTCTGTGTCTCTGTGTCTCTCTCTCTGTGTCTCTGTGTCTTTGTAGTCTGGACCTGGTGGCAGAGCTGAGGATGAAGAGGAGGAGTTCTGCCAAAACAGCCCTGGCTCTGAAGCAGCTGGCCGTGTGTTACTTCAGTCTGATCCTGGACGCAGGGACCCACCACAAACAGCACAAGTAAGACTAAAGGTGCTCTGTCGTCACGGAGACGGGACCGCTCTGTCCGGAATTTTCCGCAATCTGGCAGTGACTTTTTATCCAACAAACAATCATTTATTATGTCATCAAATGTATTTAGATAGATAGATAGATACAGTACATACATACAATATACATATATACATACATACATACATACAATATACATACATACAACATACATACAATATACATACATGCATACACACACACACACATACATACAATATACATACATACAACATACATACATATATACACACACACATACACACATACACACACACATACATACAATAAACATATATACATACATACACACACACACACACACACATATATATACACACATACACATACATACATACAATATACATATATACATACAATATACATACATACATACAATATACATATATACATACATACACACACACACACACACATATATATACACACATACACATACATACATACAATATACATATATACATACAATATACATACATACATACAATATACATATATACATACATATATGCATACAATATACATATATACATACATACATACAATATACATATATACATACATACATACATACAATATACATACACACACACACACACACACACACACACACACACACACACACACACACACACACACACACACACACACATACAATATACATATATACATACAGTACATACAATATACATATATACATACATACATATATACATACATACAATATACATATATACATACATACATACATACATACATACACAGGTTGCAATCATAGAAACAGTTTGTAATGTTTGACAATGACCAATAAAACAATTCTGATTTTGATTCTGATGTTTTAGATGCTGTATTAAAAGGATTATATTGTGGAGCAATGATTTTAAACTCTTACACATTGTACTCTGTTTCGCTATCCTTCACTTGTCGAAGAACAACAAACAAGAAGAAGAAGAAAGTGCAGCCAGGAAATTGCAAATGTGCAATTTCATAAATAAAACGATATTACACTCTGTAATCTGCTACAACAGCGTGGATTTAAAATGCCTCGTGTCTGTTGCAGATGATGCCCCGTTTAGTTTAGGTTAGCGCAATGGCTCATGGGGGATCCTCTCATATTGATAAAACATAATAAATTGCAAACATTTTGATGAGTGTGTTTCATTTCAAAAGTCTTTTAGTTCGCAAGTTAATGTGGTAAGTGAGGCGAGTATCCCAATACATCCCTAAAGTACTGGACAACATTGATCAGTCATTTATGTCAGAGCGGCCACAGATAGAAACACAGGTGAAAATACAATAGCCCTGACTCAATGTTTCATCTTGCTTCAAGTGTGATTCAATCCCAAATAGTTTGTTTATAGTTATTGGTGTGAAAATATATAAAAAGTCAATACTACTTTTAATATTATGCACATTCAAAAAGGTAGCCTGACTCTCGCCAGACCCTTGTAGTTCCGCCATGCTCCACCAGAGGCGTTTGTCTGAACACACTGTGAGAAGCACAGCGACATACAAGGGTCTGGCGAGAGTCAGGCTATCAACAAGGTTCTTCAGATAATAATATTTATCAATAATACAGATATGGCAGGGGTCCACAGTACATAATATGCAGGTCAGATATCACACTAACAATGGTGATACAGAGATACTGCACTTCAGGTCAGAGCAGCAGAGGTGGAGCAGCAGAGGTGGAGCAGCCGCTGGGTGGAAGTCACAGTAACTCAATATTTTTGTGGTACAATTTTGCCTGGTCACTTCTATGACACTCCACAAACAACTTTTCAGACTCACCAGTACAAAATGTTTCTTTTACAAAGATGCTAAATGTTCTTGTCTCCTCTCCAGGGGCCGGTCACACCTGGATCAAACAGAGTGGCTTCTGGAGGGAGTGAGTATGACACCTTCATGTAGAAAAAACATGGCAAAAAAACGAATCCCAATTTCTGTGATGGAAGAGGTGCTACAGTGTCCCACACTTTGAGCTGATGTGGTAAATCTGGCTTCCACCAGGCTGTCACAAGGCAGCTGCGGCTTCAGTGCACACACACACGCACGCACACAGACATCTTATTATAATGTCATTATTACAGGGGCGACAGTAGCTCAGTTGATTGGCATTGGCCTTTGAGCCAGAAGGTCATGGGTTCGAGCCCACCTCAAGACTTTCTCCACCGACTCCCACTGTCTGTTGTCATTGTGTCCTTGGCAAGACCTGATGCCACAGTGGGGCGGCTGCGGCTGTAAAGCGCCAAACTGCCGTTGTGTCCTTAGGCAAGACACTTCACCCCCATTGCCTAGAATGAGTCTGGTGTTTGTGTGAATGGTTGGTGGTGGTCGGAGGGGCCAATGGCACAGACTGGTTCCCTCGCTTCTGTCAGTGTGCCCCAGGGCAGCTGTGGCTACAGTAGTAGCTTATCATCACTGTGTGTGGAGTGAATGAATAATGACACATGTGAAGCGTGTCCAAATAAGCGCAATATAAAACCGATGCATTATTATTTTTATTATCGTAAATGCATTTAAATAATACAGTAACCTTTCGAATTACAATCTCTTCATGGGCTTGAAAGAACATGATTAATCACTCGTTCTGCTCCTGTGTTCTTCAGCATAATTAATATAATAACTAATGATTAATACGCAACAATTACATTGGATGGACCAGATGCACTGCTGTAGTGTTACAGCAAGACCAAGACTGTGCCCATAGGAGGCTTTTAGGACATAAATGCACACATTTAAAATGTTCAAAAATAAAAATCATGTGTTATGCCTTTCTCTGCAATTATTCAAGCTATTGAGCTGAAACTACTGAGTGCAGTGGTGTTTCTTGTTGACGAGGACAAACGCAGAGACTGGTCAGGTGTGTGGAGCAGAGAGAGAGAGCACAGAGAGCAGAGACCCTGTAGCGTCGTGAATGAATTAGTCATCAGTTTGTGGCGGCGGGGGCTCCACAGGGCGCTCTGCTTTGACAGCAGCCGTCTACAGCGTTTAGCCAGGTGGGTGGACAGCAGACAAATACCACGCCACCTGCCCATTACCCCGCAATGTGTGCCGCCAAAACCACACAGATGCCACATGGGACTTCTGACAGATGTGGTCTGAGAGGCAGGTTCTGGGAGGTCAGGAGAGAGTGGGCATGGCCAAAAGTACTTATTCAAAAGTTTTTCAATTCAGTGTGTTTTTCTTGTAGGCCTAAATCTTTATGAATATATGCCTACTTTTCTGCTATTCACTCAGGCAGCCCTCCCCACCGTGCCGCCCTATGGATAGCTCCTTCGCTTCTCAGCAAGAAGGTCCTGGGTTCGAATCCCGGTCGGAACGGGGCCTTTCTGAGTGGAGTTTGCATGTTCTCTCTGTGTCTCTATAGGTGTCCTCCTGGTGCTCCGGACACTGGTTTATACTTTTTTTCAATGCTAAATATTCAACATTTGAGAGGGAAAAGCATTTATTTTAGTCTGTTTGTGTAAAAAAGGCACTGTTTTCATCCAGCACTGACGGAGTGGATCACCTCCTGACTCTCAGGAGCCCAGTCCAACACATCAGGAACTCAGTCCAACACATCAGGAACTCAGTCCAACACATCAGGAACTCAGTCCAACACATCAGGAACCCGGACTTCAGAACTGTTTATTTTAGCTTTCTATTTTTGTTTCTTTTGCTTCTTTGAGTGTCCAAGAAATGCTATATAAGTATCATTCATTGATATTATTTAGTTTTTCATCCATCCATCCATTTTCTTCCCCCATTTCTGGATGGGGGGGGTAGAAGTCAGAGCTGCACCCAGTACACAGAGCACCAGCCCCTCACTGATCCTCCTGCAGGTGCTGAGTCCACAGGAGCTGAGATCTTTCAGCGGGGGCTTCAGGCAAAGTGGGGTTGCCTACCCTAGGACACAACAACAGCAGACATCAGTGGAAGTCGGTGAAGTAGGTCTTACGGTGGGCTCGAACCCATGACTTTCAGGCTCAAAGGCCGATGCTCTACCAACTGAGCTACTGTCGCCCCTATTTTTTAGCCTGTTTCGCTCATGCAAACGTGTGTGAATGTGTTTGCATGTTTGTGTGTGTGTTTGCATATGTGTGCCTATGTGTGTGTGTGTGTTTGCGTGTGTGATTGCTGGTGTGTGTGGGTGTGTTTGCATGTGTGCCTGTGCATGTGTGTGTGTGAAGGTGCTGTACAGCTTCTTCTGCTACGTGTCCTGGGTGACCTTTGGGAGGAAGGATCTGAAACACATCCAGGATGAAATCGGTCGTATTCTATATTCTGACAACTTCAGCGCCGCAGTGAACTGCAGAGAGGACGTTCACTCACGGAGGAGCTCAGCTGTTTCCACCCCAGCACAGGCCACGCCCACTGAGACCACGCCCACTGACACCACAAAGCTACGGTTGGTACCAGCAACACAACAGATATACTCATGCTGCTAAAAGACGTATACATAACTATATATTTGTTTCTAGAATATACAAGATTTTAGACTTGCTTCTTTATTAAGTTAAAGATGTTAAAGATTTTTATTTCAGTATAGAGTTATTGTTCATTTATCTTGTGCTGTGTGCTCCTCATTCCTGCTGTTGTGTAGTTGGTGATGCAACACTGAAATCCCGTTACTGTGGGACCAGTAAAGGATCTTTTAATCTCAATCTCCATTTTGATATTAATCTTAATCTTAACGGGAGAGTTTCAAAAGATCTCAAGGCCTCATAGACACCAAGGATAGCATGAGAATCCTTTGGAATGAACTTCAATCTGCGTAGATTGGTCAAAACATGGGATGTGATCTTTTCTAAATCCGGGAAACTGGAGCACCTGGAGGAACACCTGAACAGACACGGGGAGAATATGCAAACTCCATACAGAAAGGTTCTGTCTGGAGGTGGAATCAAACCCAGGATCTCGCCCAACAATGAAGATGAATTGTTATTAAAGTAAAACATGCATAAAATATCATCTTAAAGAAAAGGAAAAAAAAAGAAATTATACATTGATATTTCTACATTTAAAATAAATATCGTAGCTAATTTTATTTAAACTAACTTAACTAATAGGCAGCGATTGGCAGATTACAAATGCTTCAGCCACCACTTATGGTTTCAACTGATTCTATAAGAAATGCCATGTTACTGGACCGGTCCCAGTTACTACAGACATGGACGGATGGTGCTTTATTGATCCCGAAGGAAATTCACTTAAACCTCTACAGTCAGTCCAAATCCAAATGCAAGACCTATAGAACGTCTCTGCCAGTCAAGAAACCGCCATAAATCCTGGTTATTATAAATGACACGTCGGCTGGTCCGTGTTTCTCTCCTGTTGGACGTCAGATTGACAGTTTTGTGAAGCCCAAAGCCGGTTCTGTCAGATCCGCTCCAAACCCAGGCAGCATCAGCGTCCATCTCCATCAAGCTCTATAACATCTGTTAAAAGGCTGCAGCTCGAGTCCTGACTAGAACCAGGAAGTACCACCGCAATAGTCCTGGTCTCAGGTCTCTGCACTGGCTCCTGTGGCTCAGAGAATCGACTTTAAATAAGATAAGATAAGACTTTATTGATCTCACACTGGAGCAATGTACAGCTCTGTTTGTTAGAAGTCTATCCATGGCCTCGTACCAAAGTACATCTGCGACATGTTAGTGCCATATGAACCAACTGGGACTGAGGAGCACAGGGACTGGCCTCCTACTGGGTCTCTGAGGAGCACAGGGACTGGCCTCCTGCTGGGTCTCTGAGGAGCACAGGGACTGGCCTCCTGCTGGGTCTCTGAGGAGCACAGGGACTGGCCTCCTGCTGGGTCTCTGAGGAGCACAGGGACTGGCCTCCTGCTGGTGCCCAGAGTCAGGACTCGATATGTAGAGGCAGTGCATCAGATTTATGTTATTAAAATCTGGAGCAGTCTTCCTGAAAATGTGAGACAGGCTTCTTCTCTGACAATGTTCAAATCTAGTTTAAAAACAGTTGTGTTTCGCTGCAACAACTGAAGGATTGTATCTTCACCCTTTGTAATGCCTTGTGTGATTATTTCCATCTTGTTTTCTTAAGCACTTTGAGTTGCCTTGTGTCTGAACTGTGCCATACATATAAACTGGCCTTGTCGCTGTCACTGGGAAGATTGAACCGTTTAAAACAGGAGAAAATCACACACGTCCCTGGAGACTCAAAACACCCCGTCCATTACTCTGCATTTGTTCTGATTTGTGTTTCTGGAGCTGTGTTTTCGCTCTCGCAGCTGAAAGTGGACAATCTTAGCGACGGATACAGACGTTTTTTCTTGGTTTTGAAATGTACAATAAAATCCATATATTCCCCGGCACATTCTGTCCCGTTCTGCTCCGGCTCAAACTGTGATTGCCTTCGGGGCTTCATCCAGCACCGACTTTTATGCCTTATTTCCCCGGAGTCCTCTCTCGTGTTCGCTTTCTTCAGATGCGGTAGATTTCGACATTATACAGAGGAGTCGGCTTATTTCTCATATTCAGGGTAATAGTGTGGGTTGTAAGTGCAGCTCTTTTGTCGCTTTCTTGCTTTGGCCGTAATTAGCAAAGACCTGTAATCAAATAATCAAATGTTTTTTTTATTTTTTATTTCAGAACATGTACTCACACATTTACTTCCACTAAACACTCCGACTAGAACAAAGTCATCCAAAAACTTTACAGTAGAGAAAAGTCACACTATGAACACACACACACACACACACACACACACACACACACACACACACACACACACACACACACACACACACACACACACATACACGTTTTTGTTACCTGGTGGGTCCCTTTGACAGGGCCGTTCAGAATGGGACCCATAGACATAATCTTTTTTTACCAAGACTTTAAGTAATACAAAACAGTCAATAGAAACCAAACAACTATTTTAAAGGAATTTTATTTTAGATTTTGTTTTCGAATTGCAGTGATTCTATTTTTGACATAGAATTTAATGCCACTCCATGTCCGATGTCTAAGGTCATCTGGTGAGGCATTAATGCAGGCCAGGCCAGGCCAGGCCAGGCAGTGAGACTTCCCAGGGACCTTTCCAGTCTGTATGAAAGGTGTCATGGTCTTCTCCACAGCCTTCACCTCAGATGCAGACCATGGCTTTCTTACACGTTCTAGGGAGAGAAATAAAAATATATTAGCAATATACACTCCCAGGGTGAGGACCAAGCAGCCTGGCTGTAATCCCCCACCTGGTACACTTACCAGAAGGGGCACTGCCACTACCATGGGGTGCATCTGGATGAATGGTTGAAGGTTCTCCGCTTGAAGTTTCTTTTAGCCCGTCCGTTTGTGAGAGGATCTCTACTGCTCTCCCTGTCGCACAGAAAATAAAAATACAAGTGGCCTTTAGGGGAAAAAAATCATACATATTTTAATAATATCAAGAATTACCTTCAGGCTCAATTTGTATCTGGTCGAGGCTCTTTCCTTCGAATTCCGTCACTCTTCCCTGCTCCATGGCCATCAACACTTTGCTGATTTTGGCCAGCTCCAGTGTCCCCTCTGGTAGTCTGTAATATTGCCTGTGGATGCGAATGTCATGGCCGAGGAAGTTGGCAAGTATGTCCATCTCATTCTCTTTCATATTGAGAACTGTAGACATAGTAGCTATGTGCTTTCTAAGTTTGGTTGAGGATAGCATCTCTGGATGCACCGCACCACATTCTTTGGCTACCTGGCGTAGGGAGTCTGATCCCCTGATGTGGGTGTCTGCGCCCGGGCGGGAAAAGAAGTATGGGTTATGGTCAGAGATGGAACAGGCCCTTCTGTTCTCCACCAGCACCTCCATCGAAGCAATCATTTCAGGAGTCAAAAGAACCGGCACTTTCCGACTTCTTTTCCCTTTAATTTCAATGCGTTGAAAATGCTGACACAGCTTTTTCTCAAGTTGGGACAGTCCCAGAGCAATGTCAGAATGGATCCCAGTCTTACTTCTTAAGGTAAAGGCTGTCAGTGGCATCTTTGAAACCTCACCTTCCCTTCTTCGATTGAAAATGATGACCTCACAAAGAGTCAAAACTGCCAGTTTAGACCAATGCTTAGACGTTGGCTCACTTATTAGGGTTTGCACATATTCAGGTCGACATACCTCAATATGTGCATGCATGGCTCTAACGTCCTCAGTCAGAGGGAGCAGGTCCGGAGTGTTCCACTTGGCTTGCCGGAGGGTCTGTAGGGCAGCAGAAGAAACACAGACGTCCCACCTCTTCTCAAAAAGCAGCCGGCTTCGTTGGAGGTTTTTAATAAATAGTTCATCAACACAATGCTCCATTTTTGAGTCACATTCAAGAATATCTGCTAGCTTTCTGAGGCTATGGCCGAGTTTGAGGGCCAAGGATGGAGTCTTGTATTGATTTGTTTCCTCATCATATCCAGCCACAGACCTGACTGCATCAATCACATGGTTAAAGTTGGAAGGAATAAAGAAATCCTTAATTGTTTTCAGTTTCCCTGCGGTTTTTGCTTCGTTAATTAACCTACCGACTTCTCTCATTTTCTGCCTAATGTAATCATGCTTTGTCTTATCATGCCCGTGTTTTAAGTACAGGTGCTCTCCGAGTCTCAGAATCCCCTTTTCTGCTTTGACAACACCCGTGACCTCATCCTGATGCATTGCCGAAATTAAAGACCACAGCTTTTTGCTGATGCCCTCCGGTACAGGCTGGGCTAGGGAGCAGAGGGACTGGACCCTACTTCTACCTGGTTTAGCCTGGGCATCTTTCTGTGAAAGCCGGCACCTGGCCACATGCCTCCACAGCGACTTTCGCTTAAGCAATGCCCCACAGTCTATACAGTGCAAAAACTCACTGGATTTAACTGGGCAATTTGGCTGTTTAGCTGGGACTAAAGTTCCAATGCCGGCCTTTAAAACCTCAAAATTGTGCTCACGGTTTCCACTATTCCTGATCAAATCAAACTGAAGTTTACGTGCTTTAGATTTCACAGGTAGAGCCAATGCTCTGGCTACGTCACTTTCATTTCCATGTTTTCTAGTCAAATGACGGGACATTTTGTGGCAGGACATTGAACAGTAGAGGCAGAAGTGTCTCTTGCTGTATACTCGCCCCCCATTTTTCTTCTTTTGCAGCTGCATGATAACAATCTTATTTGCCTTTGGTTCGTCACTTTCCGAGTCTTGAAGAAAAGTGTTTTTGATTTTTCTTTTTCCATACTTTTTTACAGGTTTCTTCTTGACAGTTAAATCGTCAGAATCTGAGTCGACTTCATCAATTAGGGACTCTTGACTAAGCTGCACAAACAACAAATAATTTGTAATCATTCTATATAACAATTTGAAGTCATGACTTGTAGTCAGCACTTACCAGTGGTTTGTAAGCGTGCGCTTCAGTGTGCTCCTCCATGATTTCTTGCAGCCTAATGAACCACACACTTGCACCTTTTTCTAGCCTGACACCTGATTTCCTCTGTTGTGCTGCTCCATGATTGGCTCCAGCCTGCTGGACTGAAATTGCCCCAGTGTGCCCCTCCTTGATATCCCGCAACCCACCACCAGGGTTCCGACACATAACACACTTTTTTCAGGAAAGTAAACCTCCAGGGGTCCTTTCCATATTTTTACAGAGACTGCATAAGGACCGTTAGAAAAGCATTACCCATTGATTATTAAGCTTGGACCAGTGGGGTCCGGTGTTCGGGCCCCACCACGTAAAACCAGTCCCCATGACGTGAGTGGAATCTCAGGTTATGGAACCCACCAGGAGTTGAAAACAAGTGCACACACACACACACACACACACACACACACACACACACACACACAGTTCTCCAGTCGCCTCCCGTTTGGGCTTTTGTTGTCATATTTAGCATATTGCAAAGACTGTAGTCAAAAAATCTTTTCAAAAATGTTTATTTCAGAATATGTACAACACAAATCCACCAAACACAAAACAAAAATGTCATAATTTTGTACAAACATGGAAAAAAGGGTTTGATAAAGCAGATTAGAGACTCAAAAACGTCTCTAATCCCCTCTCTCACTTAATATATGACTCCATTTAGAACCAAATCGGCCAAAAAAAAGACAAGAAACGACAGTAGAAAACAACATTGCACATGCACACACACACATACACACACACACACACACATATATATATATTTTTTTTCTATCTGTTATATAAGCTGAAACTGTCAAAATGTGTGGCACTACTCGGGTCTGACTGTAGACTCTTAGTGAGAAAACATAAAAACTACTTTATTCAAATGTTTGTTAATATATTCATCATTATTGCAGTGAATCTTGTAGTTCTACAAGAAAAAAACTTGGCTACGCAAGGTTTGAAGTCTATGATAGTTTTCTGAAATACATGGGGTGAGGTACTGCTTCATACGAATGCTTTTTCAAGTTATTTTCAAATTACAATTTTTTAAAAGACAGAGTATCGAAAAATCATTTTGGTAATGTTGGTCAGAAATATTGCCAAAACTCCCCTTTGAGCTTGTAAAGAAAAAGGTTTATAAATAAAGTTTGATGATTGCAAAGTCACTCACTCCCATGACCTGCAGGCGTTCCCGCTTCTCGGTTCGCCGCGTGGTGAATGGTCGGTCTCCTCTGATGATGTCGCTGCTGCCGTTGCCGCGGGAACAGTCTCCTCTCCTGTTAAGGGGACGCAGGGACGACCCCGAACCGCTGTTTGTGACTCCTGCTGACGACGTGGACAAGCTGAGAGAGGAGCTGTCCCGCATGAGGTCAGGCCACAGCGTTCGGTTTAACTTCCTTAAAGCTGGGGTACCTAACTTTCAAAGCACAACACAGGAACTATATGTAAGAAAATCCATGTAACTAGTTCCTCGCTCTCAGAACACATCTATCACAAGTTTTTCACATAACGTATTTTTGGCCTCTGTCCCGGCTTTAGATCTGCTTTTTCAGGCAGAACATTGAGGATCAGCCAATCAGCTCTCAGCCCAAAGGGTCAAAGTGTGACTCACAGGGCTCTTTCTTAGATTTGCAAAAGATAACATCATTTTTACTAAAATAAAGACAGCAAGTTTTGGATCAAATAGTTTTCCAAGACTTCACCTTTTGTTTCAATTATCAATAAAGTTTGGTCCAGAACACAACGAATCACCCAAAAAGAGAATAAGTAAGGAACGTAACTTGAATATAAAAAACTGTTGGTCAAACAAACGTCTATGGGCAGACGCAGACGAAAATGTGAAAAAACAAGCCCCATTAATTCAAAATTCCACAGCGACTAAACTAGACTGGTCCAAAAAATATACTCCCCTCAGGATTGACAGCGTCCAAAAGAGCCACTTTTCTGTAAAAAGGTTTTCGAGAGGTCAGATGATGCTATACATTAGTAAGTAATCTATATTTAGTAAGTAATCTATATTTATATATACCGCCTTTTCACTGCACATCGGAGTCTCAAAGCGGTTTACAATTGTTATTTTTGGGAGTGGGGCCAGTACAGGAGGCACATGCCAGACCTATATTACATATTTTATTATATTAATATATAATAAATAATATAATATAATATTAAACATTTTGTCTGTATCTGCATGTTTGAAACAAACAAATAAATACAAAAATACAAATATTTTTAGTGGTAGGGGAAACCGGAGCACCCGGAGGAAACCTACGCAGACACGGGGAGAACATGCAAACTCCACTCAGAAAGGCCCTGGTCCAACCGGGATTCGAACCCAGGACCTTCTTGTTGAGAGGCGAGAGTGCTATCCACTCAGCCACCGTGCCGCCCTTATTGGCTAATTAGCATTGGCTAATTCTTTTTCCGGGTCCAGCCCCACAGGCCAGGGGTGGTATTGCAGGCATTTCAGCGCACGTCATTTTGGACATTTTTGAGCCGAGACCCGCCCCCGCTGCTCCACCCTGAGGTGCGCCCCTACATGGATAAATATGGTAGTGCGCCTAAACCACAACCTCCCATATACCACAAAATATATACATTCAGCAATTAGATAGCTCTCAACTGAACGTATGATTAGACCAAATGATAGGACCAAATTGGCTGCAACACTGGGGTTCTCACTTCAAATGAAATACAGGTACAAATGTCTCTTTTTAAAATCTTTTTTGTGTTTTTTCTGCTCTCTCAGTGTCGGGATCCTGGGTCGGCCTCTGCAGCAGTTGGACGGCGTGACTCTGATCCACAAAGACCACATCCACGGGGCTTCAGTCACCGCCGGACAGTCTGACCACTGAAGGGAACAGAACATTATTCACACAAAAACACATCTCTTTTTCAACTATTATTCCCGACCTGCAGGGGCTGGGGCGACCTCCACCGCTCGCACACTTCCATGGAGACTTAGTGCAGGACAAGATGAAACAAGTGCAAATGTGAACTCCATGAGGTCAACACCAGATTTATTTGTTCTAACTTGGATTGTGTCAATGTAATGTTTTGTAGTTAAAGATATACACAGAGGTTTATATAACGATAATGTCCCCTTGTGTAGGTGCTTCATGTGCAGAATGTGGATAAACTGCGGTCGGTGCTTGTGCAAAATGTTGGAAATTGCTGTGTTCTTGGATAAGTGGTGTAATTGGGCCCAGAGCAGAGGTGTGGTTTGTTCTGTGCTCAGAGAAACATGCATCATGCACAAGGGACAATGTGAAGGCACAGGCTTTATGTTTCTGTTCTTTTGACAGTTGGACTCCCACAGCAGTCAATTTGACGGCTTTTAGCTTTCAAAGCCTAAAGATTCAGCTCAATCTTGGACATTTCCTGTTTCTATATGTTGTTTATTTCTATTTTTTCTACTTTTCTACATACGTACGTTTTTATCTTGGATAACTTTTATGAAAGTATGTATTGGTACTAAAATGTGAGGAGTTCTACCTTTAACTCCAACAGCAGTCATTTTGACTTCAGCTACATTTCAAAGGTTTGTCATTTTGGTTGCTGGGAAACCAACATTCGATGGAAGTTATAGCCCTTTTCTACAAGGTCCTGGTTCTGGACCGGTTCTTGTTCTGAGCAGAATCAGCTTAGTTTTCCATCAAAGAAGAGCAGATTTTAGTAACCATAGCAACAAACTCTTTACTTGCAGCAGTTAGCAATTAGCCGTTCACCCCAATCTCTCCAGCTAAGTCTCTCCAGTCTCTCCAGCCCCAGGTTCAGTCTCTCCAGTCTCTCTAGTCCCAGGTTCAGTCTCTCCAGTCTCTCTAGTCCCACGTTCAGTCTCTCCAGTCTCTCTAGTCCCACGTTCAGTCTCTCCAGTCTCTCTAGTCCCACGTTCAGTCTTTCCAGGCCCAGTCTCTCCAGTCCCAGTTTCTCCAGCCCTAGTCTGTCCAGCTCCGGTGTGGTGGCAGACGGAGCTTTGCAGCGGCCCTAATTGGCTGCTGTAATCTGGGACACAAGTCGTTCTAAGCTCCTGGAGGAGAGAGAGTCCCGGGACGACGCTGCTCGAGGGAGGGGCGAGGAGCAGAGGGAACTGACCAGAATAGGTCCCATCATGAAGGTAACCATAGACCAAACATGTACAATTGGATTTAATAAACTTCTCCTCAAGCTTGATCCCAGCTCATTTCTCAAGTCAGATGTTTGCAGAGAGTTGAGCCCTTCCTGGTTCTAGTCAGGACCGGAGCTGCAGAGACCTGAGAAATGGACTAGTGTGATGGTACTTCCTGGTTTTAGTCAGGACTCGAACTGCAGAGACTTGAGAACTTGATTAATGTTGTACTTCCTGGTTCTAGTCAGGACTAAAGCAGCGAAGACCTGAGAACTGGATGTTGTGGGTACTTCCTGGTTCTAGTCAGGACTCAAGTTGCAGAAAACCTGAGAACTGGACTAATGTGATGGTTCCTGGTTCTAGTCAGGACTTTAGCAACGAAGACCTGAGAACTGGACTAATGTGAGTGTACTTCCTGGTTCTAGTCAGGACTCAAGCTGCAAAAAACCTGAGAATTTGACTAATTTGATGGTTCTTCCTGGTTCTAGTCAGGACTTTAGCGGCAGAGACCTGAGAACTGGACTAATGTGATTGTACTTCCTGGTTCTTGTCAGGACTCAAGCTGTTTTACAATGCGTAGTCTAACCTACTGGAGACAAATGCATGGATGAGAGTCTCTACGTCTGCTTTAAACATTATATTTTTGGCTTCTGGTTATGATTTTCAGACGGTAAAAAGCTGCAACTGATACTGATGTGATGTAGCTGTTAGAATTTAAGTCTGAGTCCCAGATTTCTGACCCTTAATAATTACTAGCTGCTGTAGCTCAGGTTTTGTTGCCTCTTTCAACTCCACCACTAGAGGGAGCCTTTGTCTATGAATAAACCATTTCAAATAGTGTTATTCATGTTTTAATGTGATTTTGAGCCTCATATTGTCCACACCGCACATTTAAAAGCATACAAAGCAATAAATATGTCTAAATATGTGGTTACCATAGTGAAGCATTGACTTTTTTTTAGTGCTAATTATAATGGATTATGAGACAGCAGGATACGGACAATTAGCTGCAGTCTTTCCCACTTAATACAAACATGCAATTATCAATATTAATTTCTGTGCAGATTTTTTCATAGTCTGTGATTATTGAGCAGTTGGCACCATGTAGAAAATTGAGATGGATTAGTAGCTGCAGATGTGATGCAATTTGCCAAAAGTGCAAGTACCGTATGAGTGGAAGAAAATGTTATCGGTTGGGTGTTCTTTCAAAATATCCAGACAGATTGAGACGCGTGATTTGTAAAGGAAAAGACAAGAACAAATCAATTAGAGCCAGAAATGTGTGGACAAATTAGGCAACATGTAAGAGGAGTTAGTGAGGGATTGTGCTATGGCCAGTGTCTGTTATATTAGAGGTATAAAGGAGAATTGTCTACTTCTGGGTGGATCATCAAGGCCATTGGTCCTCTCAATTGTCAGTCCTTCTGCTGATATAAGACCAGAGAGTTTTGTTCAAAAAGTGGAGAGGGGTAGGCAAGGCAAATGTCAAGCCTAGTTCATATAGGCACCGCAAAGTGCTGAAAAAAGTAAGGTTGAAACCACGCTAGGCCTTCGAATCATTAATAATCACATTGCGTTAAAAATAAATATAAAAAGATATTAAGTTAAAGTTATACAACAAGAACGAAAAATCATTTAGCGCTAAAAATGTGAGGACAAATTAGTCGACATGTATAAGGAGCTAGAGTGAGAGTTTGTGGCTTGACCAGTGTCTGTTATGTCAAGTTTTCTACTTCCGGGTGGATCATCAAGACCAGGGGTGTCAAACTTATTTTAGTTGAGGGCCGAATAAAAAAAGAAAGGGCTGGTCAGGGGCCGAAAGAATAAGTGGGTTTCATTTATAAATCATTTTTGGAATATGAAGGTGTCTAAAGAAATGACTTCACATTAGTTGGATTGGACATTCTTTTCTGATTAGAATTAGTTTGGTTTCTGTGACTGACCCAAAACTGGACCAAATAGTGAAGGTTATATAGGTTGGATCATCAAGACTTTTGCTCCTCCCATTTGTCAATCATTCCAGTGAATTGTGCTCGTCTAATAAGACCAGAGAGTTTTGTTCAAAAAGTGGAGAAGACGGTTCTTTCCTAAGAAAATTGGGAAATCCTTCTCCATATCTTTAAGAAGAAAAGTAATTGAAGACTGGTAAAAAACATAACAGAATAAATCTAACTAATTACATGTTGGCTTCACATGTCTTATGAAATGTATTGTTATGGTTATTTTCTTAGTAATAAATAACATTCCATTGTTGCCTATTACCATTAATGCTGCTATTTAATATAACAATTTAAAATCATCTCAAGGGCCACTGGAAATGGTCTCACGGGCCGGATCTGGCCCCCGGGCCTTGACTTGACACCTGTGCTCGAGACTATTGGTCCTTTCGATTTCAATCATTCTGGTGATACATGAGTTTTGTTCAAAAGTGGAGAGAGTGGTTCCTTCCTAAAATTTGGGAAAATCCTAATGTAAACCTTTAACAATGAACTCTAGACAAAAGTAAATGAAACACTGTTAACACCGTAAATGTCATATATTGTTTACAAGCCGAGCGCCCCGTGGGGAGGTGTGGGGAGGTGGGAGGAGGTGGGAGGAGGGGGGCGGGTCTGCGTGCCCCTTGATCCAGCTCCTCTTGCCTCCTGCGGCCGCGGTGACACTCCAACGCGCACTAAATCCTGTTTCGCTCATTCGCCAGGGAGCAGAGCAGAGCGGAGCGGACCGTGCCAAGCCAAGCCACACCGCACCGCACCGCACCGCACCGCACCAGCAGCAGCAGCAGGACTATAACCCGGACCAGCGCGCGTCGAAACCTCCGACACATTTTTTTTTTTTTTTGCTTTAAAGCGCAGACATTGTGCCATTCCGTTTTGGGGGGAGGACCAAGCAACACGTATCCAGCCGGACCCTGTCTACTCCACAGAGAGAGGCGCGAGTGGGAGAGAAGGACGCCGAGACGCAGAAAGAACACATTTGTTGTTGTTTTTCTTTGCTGCTGATAAACAGAGGAGCAAACCAGGACATAATAATAACAGGACACCGCTCGTCTGCTGCGCGTTTTGTTTTTGGACACGGGAAATATGAGAGACGCGTGGATAATTTTGACGCTCGGGCTGGCGCTGGTCCTCTCCGTAGAAAGGGTGAGTTAAAAAAAAAACACAAACAAAAAAGTGGCAAAGTTGCAGAGGATTAAAAGCAGTGGGGGAGAAGTAAAGGTCTGAGTGTGTGACCTCTTCTGCTGCTGCTGTGGGGTTTTTGGGGCACGTTTGGCACCAGATGTGTGTCTTGTTTGTTTGTGTGTGGTAGTTGGCGTTGTTGTGATTGTCATGATGTGTTGACGTGCTGTGGGGATATAGTGGGTCTTGTTTCTGGATCTCCTGGATCTAGATCTCAGTCAAACTGTGAGGGACTGGGCTCCATGCACGGAGACTTCTGCACAGCGCGCTACTGGAAGCGTAAAGCGGTTTGCAATCACAGCAGGGCTTTTTACTAGTTTATTTCAAAGGCCACTTCTTCAATACAGTCTCGGTTTGAGCATTTACAAAAAACATTGTTGTGATTGAGTTTTGGCAGGACATTGTTTAAAACAGTGGGGATTGGAAGCAAAAACAAACATGAGAGATGACAACTTTTATTATATGTAATGCCACGGTTCTAGTTTGTGAGTAGATGCGTTGGTGTCAGTCCTAAGCCGAGAGAAACTGAAAAGTCAAGATTGAAAAGAACATGCCTTTTCAAGCAACTGTT